AATTTTTTAATTAAAACAAATTATTTTGAATGATTTACTCTTTAAAATATAATTGAAATTAATAAAATTTATATTTTTAATTTAATAAATAATTATTAAAATTTAAAATCTAAAATTTTAATTAAACAATTCAATTTTAATTACAATAAAAATAGAACCGCACCCACCACCCCTGGTTTGATGTTTAACACCCCCGATTCCCTTTCCTCATCCTCTACAGCGTAGTAAAAATATTTGTAAAAAATTAATTTTTTTTTTTTATAAAAATAATTTACGCTCGAAAAAAATTCACAGTTGTATGTTTTTTTTTCTTAAATGAATAATGATGGGCGGGACGATTTTGAAAACGAAATCAAAAGACGATAAATGAAACAAAATCAAATTAATAATTGTTGTTGGGATTGTTTCACCCTTCAGTTTCGTCCCCAAAATCGTCCGCCTATCATTACTCTGCTTAAATATTTTTGTCCGCCTCAGATTCCTTTCTCTCTTGTCAATATCATAGCCCCGTTTCAAAATGTTAAATTGGGGAATTGCCGACCTTTCACCTGATGCTGGCAAAGCTGAGCAGGGATGAACTCTCCGCAAAAGCAGGAAGAATAGTTCAGAAAAAATAATTATTGTCAATAAAGAATGTCAGCATGTGACTGTGTAGAGAGAGATTTAAAAAGTTTGAGTTGATAAATATGTACAATTACTATCAGCATCTGACACCGTGGGCGAGTGAGGGCCTAGAGCTCAGCAACCATGTGAAATGTGGTCCTTGAAATCCCTGGACATCAAAGATATAACATTTGACATTTATTGGTGGGGTAAAAAATTGATATATATGTACCAAAAAAATTTTGATATATAAGATAGGAATGGGTTAAAATTTTGTAATAAAAAAATTTTAAAATTAACAAAATTATAATTAATAGATAAAATTTAATTGAATTTTATTTAATTAAAATTTAAACTAAACTAATTTTAAATAATTTAAATGTTAATATTAAATTAAAAAAATAATGATTGAGATGAATATAATTAAATAATTTAAACAAAAACTTTTTATATAAAATTTTTAATAATTTTTAAATTGTTAAAATTTTTCATTAAATAAAAAACCTCGAGGTAGTGTGCAAGTCTGATGAAAAAGTCAAGAAGATATTTCCAAGATGAGTAATGATAAAGGAATGAAATTGAGTGACGACAAGTAAAGCAAGAAGATATAAAATTATCAATTTAATCCTGCTTCACTTGTCGTATTTCAATTTCGTCCTTCTCATCATTACTCTTCCAAGATGTATAACAAATGTCAATCAATAACAAATGACTATAAACGGTTATCATCGAAATATGTCTTATAGCACCTGGCCTTTGCGTCAAGTGGCATCCTGCCACATTGAGAGCATGATGGGTCAACCGACCAAAAACCGCAGAACTGCCCGACAATGGGTGGGTTTTTATTTTTTAACCAATTTTTCGAGTTTGGATATTAGAGGCGCGGTTTGAGTGGGCTTCGGTTGTAACGTCCTGGAACCAAAACCGGAGGAGTAGGCCTAGTAAAAACCGAAGCTCAGCCCACATTTTTGTTTCTTTAACTTTTACATTTATTTTAGGGATTCCACCAGCATTTTGGTTTACGGGTTCAACAGTAAATGTCGAGTCTTCTCCTCTATAACATTTCATCATGCTTTTGGAAATTTAAAATTGAGTGGTCCCACCACCATTCATTTTTATTTTATGAATTTTTAATATATATTTTTAAGATATATTTTTATA